ATATCTTTTAATTTTTGCTGGTAATCAGCTTTGTTGACTATAAACATATGTGTTAGATTTATCAGCGTCTGATGACAATGTCAGCGTTGTTTTTTAAATCTTTCGCAGCGTTTTTTAGTTTTGGTGTTAAAATACTACTATGGTTGGTGCCGGGGGATCGGTTCTTCAAACCCTCAGCTTTGAGTAAGTCTTTCAGGTCAGGGTGTACTGCTATGTCACCACGCGTGGAAAGTTGGGATAGTGATTGGTATAGAATTTCAATTTCTGTTGTCTTGGTGATAAGGTCAAACTTAGGTTGGATGTGGCAGTTTGGACCTAAATTTAGAAATTCTTTTTGGTCATCTGTTAATTTATGGTTGGATAAATTTAAATATTTGTCTTCACTGTTGGGTAGTAAAATATTTCCTTGATATAATTTACAAAGTTTTTTTGTAATTATTTGTCTGTGTGTGAGTTGGTGCTGGTTGATGCTAAGATTGAGGCGGTACAGCGATTCATTAGATTCAGGTTCAGTCAAAGTGTTTTTTAGTGTAGTGTTATGTTTGTGTATTTCTTTGTTTAAATGTTGGATCTCATTTTGAGCTAATTTTATTTGTCGTAAGACGAGGTTTTTCCTGAATGTAGTGGTGTTATTTTCCTTGTTGGCTGCCGGGTCGTGTAATTTGATATTTGTATATTTAGGCAGCAATCCTTCCTTTATGCATGTTTCATTAAAAACGACAGACAAGGTACTACGGTTAAGCTTTTTTTTATTTTTTTTTTTTTGTGTTCGAACAAGAGCTTTCTTTTCTGGACAAAGAGTGTAAGAACTGTCCGAATGTTCTGTGTTTCCGAGCGCTTTCGGCTATACCTTTTAGCCATTATCAAGGATGGTTCAATTATCAGCTTAGTAGAGTGTGTGTTCTATGTATGTTCAGTGTGTGGTAGTGATGTTTTAGTTTCCGAATACGGTTAGCACATTGTGGCTTTGTTCATAGTTGATATTGTTAAGAGTTGGCTTTTTTTTTTTTATTATTAGAGCTTCCATTATTTTAGTCTTTTTTTGCAAGTGGATGCAGTTAATATATTAGTGTTTGATCCTTGATAATGGCTAAAGGTATAGCCGAAAGCGCTCGGAAACACAGAACATTCGGACAGTTCTTACACACTCTTTGTCCAGAAAAGAAAGCTCTTGTCAGAACACAAGAAAAAATTAAATAAAAAGCTCAACCGTAGTACCTTGTCTGTCGTTTTAATGAAACATGCATAAAGGAAGGATTGCTGCCTAAATATATAAATATATATATATATATATATATATATATATATATATATATATATATATAGGCTATTCTTTGGTGATGAAACATAAACGATTATTCTAGTTAGAAGTATCATTTTGCCTTCCTCCCAGTCATCTTTGTTACGTTATTATAATTGATATTTGTTTTTTTTTCTTTTGGTGGGGTGAGGTCTGGATAGATAGAGAGAGAGAGAGAGAGAGAGAGAGTGAGAGAGAGCAACATGCCAACAAATTCAGTCATGATGGGTTACAAGTATACAAAGCACAATGTACCCATAATAACACTTTGTTTGATAAGGGTATACCAGTTACATGCAGCACAGCCAAATGAGTACGACAGATTTTGATAAAAGTAGTACATAGCCTAGCAAGTAGGTTTCAGTTAGAAATACCTTCAGGTTTGTGAAGTCAGCTGCTCAGATAGTATCCGCTAGAGTATCTTTTCAATTATCTTGATATGACTACCAAATTCTTCAAAGTTTAAAAAAAAATCTTTCGACACCTGGTCACGAGGCTTCCTTACCACTCCTAATCAAGGTGTTTCAGTATCGAATGGTTATGGTTAATCAGTTGACAAGCAAATCTATGTTACTGAACGGGATATTTACTGTAGCCCATCTTAATTCATCAAGACAAAGCATACATATGGAGCGTTCGGTTAGCAAGGTCGAATTTACTGTCTTTAAACCTCAATCCTTCATGAATCTCTCACGTACATTCATATCTGCTCAAAGCGCATCCAAAAGTAAACAAATGACGTCACACATTATGAAATGGACAAAGTCCGACAATTATTTTGAGACATTTTTATGTTTATACATTCTTTTTATAGATACAAATATTTATAAATGTTCTGTTTTATAATAAACAGTAAAACAACATTTACCGGCCTGAATGTCCGAGAAATTTTCACAGAAAATATTCGTCCTCCGACAGGCCGGTAAATGTTGTTTAATACTGTTTATTATAAACAGAGCATTTACTTAAATATTTGTATCTACAAAAAGAATGTATAAGCATAAAATGTCTTAAAATATATTTTATATAGTAATATATAGTATATATACTTTATTATATATTAAAATTGAAACAGCTAAATATCATCTTTGCATTGTAGTAGTTATTGGTTCAGACTTTGTGATGTCATTTGCGGCTGCGATCCATTGGAAATTGCTTGGTGTGCCACGTAGGTTGCCGACCCTTGCTCTAGCACATTTTGATGCGAGGACTTCATTTTTCCGGATATATTTTGATATCTGCATATGCAGTCACACGCAAAAGTATTGGACATTTTCAAAAGCTTTTAAAGAAAAAGCTTAATTTCTAATGCGAGCACAAACCCAAAAAATTGAGGTGAACAAAGTAAATACTTATCTCTGCACAAATAGGGAATTTTCTTCTCTATGCACAGATTTATTGGAAAGTTTATCAAAAGAGGTACGAAGCAAAAATATTGGACACAGACGAATAAAGTCAGCATTTAATACCGTGCTCTTTATTTGCTAGGACGGCAATCCCACGTTAAGAATAATTTGAAATATGTTTCTCGCAGAAATTAGGTCCAAGTTTATTTAAAAGTCTAAAATTAGAGCTCACCGGAAGAATGCCAATAACTTGAGCAATCTTATTGTAAACAGGAGTTATGCCCAACTGATTAAGGTCAGGTAATTGACAAGCAGATCTATGTGGCTGAATGGGATAATTAACGTAGCATATCTTAATTCACCAAAAACTACGATAAAAATATGTATATATTCACAGCGCAATCAATATAGGAAAATTATTATTATTATTATACTTATCCTTATTATCCTTACGTCATTATTCTTGTTACACTTATTATGCTTATTATTATTATCATTAATATTATCCACCTTCTTATCTGTATTATTATCCTTGTATTATCATTTTAATTCTTTCCACCCTTATTATTATCCTTGTTCTTATCATTACTCTTCTTATCCTCATTGTTATTATTATTATTATTATAATTATTATTATTATCCTTCTTCTTATCGTTATTTTCATCCTATTTATTATTATTATTATTATTATTATTATTATTATTATTATTATTATTATCTTTCGATTTCTGTTATGGTAGCACTACCTACCAGGTCTGCGAGGACACCAAAGGCAGGTAGTGGTGCGTTGTTATGGCTACATTTCATGATTTATCTTTCTACCGCCCATAACATCACTAGCGTTACATGGATAGAGGTCTTCTTAGTGGGTGAGCTTTAATTATCAAGACATTTTTTTTGTATTTCTCTTAAGCTGAGATTTACAGGAATTTTTTCAATGTTTTGTTGTGTTCCTTTTTTTTATCATTCCAAGCGAACCTACTATGACTTACTATTCTTGTTTTCAATTTCCACATTTTTTTTATTTCGATTTCCAAAACTTTATACTGCGATAGTTTTTCAAAACCATTGGTTGTTATGCTACAATCCGCTGGGCAAGCAATATCAATTAGTAGAGAAGGTTTTTCGGTTTTTTTTTTGTCCGGCCTATTTTGCTTCAGTCTTCCTGTTTGTAAAGATGGTGTAATCCTATAGAATTGTAATATCTTCGATTTCTGTAACCGGTGCTGGTTGATGTTTATACAAGTGTTTGTTAACATCTTTTCCAAAGTGTTTGAACATTGTCCAGTGTAAAAATGATTAATTTTGAGAAGCCTCGGTGGGAATCAAAATCACTATCAATGAAAGAAGAAACTGATGCAAACTACTGTTTTAGTGTGAAATAAATTTTCTTTTTACAATTTCGGAATGGTAACTGGAATAACGTAAGATGCCTTCCATAAGCTAAAGAAAGTATCAAGAAACAGGAAAATTTCATTACAACGTAAAGAGTTTTGAACAGCTATATAATATCTAATCTCCTACATGACAGTCCCGTCCTGGGTATGACGATAAACTACATCCGCGTCCTGGGTAAGACGATCAACTACACCCGCGTCCTGGGTAAGACGATCAACTACGCCAAACAGCAAGGCCTCTGATCAGGAGGTTTTGAGGAGCGGGGAACCACCTCTTAATTGCTAGCGTTCCCTGACAAAGGGTGGTAGCACCTGTTAGGGTCCCAGCTATGGGCAAATAGTTGAAACCCAAACTTGTGTAAACATAGGTTTTAATACCAGAAATACTTTGTAATAAAAAAAAATATTACCAGCAATAATTTATTGAAGGAAAAATTATTATCAGCAATACTTAAAAAAAATAATACCAGCAATACAAACAGCTATACATTCTTTAAAAAAAATATGACCAGCTATAGATTTCTTCAAGGAAAAATATTCCCAGAAATAGATTTTTGAAGAAAAACATATTGCAAGCAATAAAAATTTTGTCGGCATTAAATAACCCATTGAGGTTGATATGCCATAAAACAAACCAAAATATTACAGTCAATGAAGAGGGGACTTGATGCAACAAAGTTGTGATCTCAAGAAGGATGCTGAGAATACCATTGATGGAACATGTGACCAAGAGGAAGTTTTAAGGAAAATGGAAACAAAAAGGAAGTGAATAGAACGGTTTAGTGATAAAAGTCTTAATAATTAACCCATAGCTGGGAGGAGAAGAGGTGGATTCATCCCTTTCCCAAGGGTATTTGCACGTAAGTTAATATAATGAACCTAACAGGAATTGGAACTCAGCTCTCCAATTAACAATTTCAAGACGTTATCCTTTACAACATCACCCGCACATCCAAGCTTACAGCACCTGATATTCACAGACGGTCATCCATCTAGGTATTGACCAGGCTCGACGTTGCTTAACTTCGGTGATCGTATGGGAACCAATGTTTTAAGGTGATGTGACCCTATGCCTAAATGAATGGGATGGAGATGATTCGACCCTGTGTACGTGGCATCGTGTGTTCTAAATGTGAGGGTCTGATTTGGTTTGGTTCGTTTTGTTTTATGGCATATCAACATCTCAATGGGTTATTTAATGCCGACAAGATATTTATTGCTGGTATTTTTTTTTTTCAAAAATGTATTGATGGTAATATTTTTCCATGAATATATTACTGGTAATAATGTATCGCTGGTAATAATTTTTTCTTCAAAAATTCATTGTTGGTAATAATTTTTCTACAAAAATGTATTGCTGGTAATAAAACCTATTTTTACACTTTCATAGTGTTTTGACCCCAGTTTGGGGGTTAACTATTTGCCCATAGCTGGGACCCTATCAGTCGCAACCACCCTGGGGTCAATGTGGCCCAGTGAACTTCAGCAATTATGAGGTGTTTCGAAGCTCCTCAAAACCTCCTGACTAGAGGCCTTGCTGTCGGATGTAGTTTATCGTCTTACCCAGGACGCGGATGTTATTTATTGTCATAGCCAGGACGCGTGAAGGTCTGAACTGAAATATTTAGAAGAATAGCCATTTCTTTTTTTTTACTAATTGTTCACCCAATACAAGGCCCAAGAGCCATTCAATGTAAAGGGTTACTGAATGAGGTTGTTGTATGAACGTAATTGCACATTATGAGGCTATGTAGGAAAAATTCAGCTACTGTAAGCAAATTGAGACCTTGAGGCAGATCAAAGAAAGCATATTAAAGAAGTTGGTCAATATTTAGATGAGTGAACGTTTAGGAATACGAAACATTAAGCATCTTAAGACCTTGTTCTAGATTAAGAAAAAACGTTAGCCAGCTACCACAATCTATTTTCTAACAATGTGTGACTGTCTTTTATTCATCATATTGGAATCCAGGCAACAGGCATCTGCACACTTGTATATTCAAGGAATGTCAAACATAACTTGTTTATAGCTTAACGCTTTTACTGCCACCAGCCACATGTCAAGGAACTTTTTGATTATTGCCTCTGATAACCCCAGGCATGTACCGTAAAATCAATAATAATTTTTACTTAGGGGTAGAAATACCTTTATTCTTTTCCTTCATTAATGTTTTTCGATGAAAATCTTTTTAGGCTAAACGTTTAGGAAATTTCATTTTGCTTACAAAAATAAAGAATAAGTTGTCTTATAACGGTAACTCAGTCAGTTATGTGCCATGCGTGATACACGCTTAAACGATCATGTATCTTTCGATACATGACTGATGAGGCAGATTTTTTTTCCCGCAGTAGGTTGCCCCTTTCTTTCTGCGGTAGACCAGTTGCCATCCAAAGCAACCCGATCTGTTCTGCTATTTACTGATAGCTTGGGTGGGGGGAAGAAGAGGATTCATGCCTTTCCGAAGGGTATTAGCACGTAAGTAAATGCGATGGATTTGACTGGAATTCGAACATGGCTCTTCGATTTCTCAATCCGAGCCGCTATTACTCCACCGTGCCAACGGTAACTGAACTAAGCAACAATAAATGACATTATAGACGATTTAAAATATCCAAGATACCAATAAATAGACTAAATTTAATAAAACGTAAATAGTCATATTTACCAGTTTTTAATGGAAATTAACATAACATAATGATGACATTATATAACGGTTAAAATACCTAAGATCTTTGCAACTGTGTTAATAAATTTAATTTTATTTATAAATAAAAAAAAAAAAGAAAAAAAAAAAGAAAAGAAGCAAAAAAGTATAGGAAGTTGTGGAGATTTATGATCGCCCACGGTTGTGGAGGCATGGTGGATAGCGGCTCGGATCGAAGAATCGGAGTGCCGAGTTCGAATTTCAGTAGAATCCATTACATTCACGGGGAAGTATTCATTGGGATAGCCGGATGCCTTGGATGGCAACTGGTCTATCACAGAAAGAAATGGCAACCTACTGCGGGAAAAATCTGTCCGTCAGTCAAGTGTCGAAAGATAAGCATGTATCACGCATGGCCCATAACTGATTGACGTCCCGAAGAACATGGCACATAGAAAAAATTTTAAGTCATAATTTGTAACACTAACTCTAATAAAGCATAAATAGCAGTTTATAAGGATTTAACTCTTTAAGGTCCCAGTGACTGTTCTTTTGTTCCTCTATGTGTCATGTCCTTTCAAGACGTTGATGACCATGGCTCTCCACAATTTCCTGTCCTTTGTAGCACTTAATAAATTTTGTTCCTTTTGTCATCTCTCTTAAACCCTGTTCCGCCATACATTTACTCAAACTCAATTGTTTTCCTGTGTCCCGCTTGTCTTCACTCTGTCCTGTGAGTATCAAATTTTCCAAGCCCTCTTTCCTCATTATATAACCTATAAATTTCAATTCTCTTTTCCTGATTTTGAGTGTAAATGTCTTTGTCCTTTCCTTCACTGAATCTCGAATTTCGTCGTTGCTTACATGTTCGGTCCATGGTATTCTCAGCATCCTTCTGTAGAACCAAATTTCTGTTCCTTAAAGTTTCTTCTACATTTGTAAAGATATTGTCCAGCATTCACTGCCATATAGGAGGACTGGTATTACATAAGTGTTCAGTACTCTTTGTTTCTAACGATAATTTAATTTTATTTATCAAAATCAAGCGTAAATAATATTTTATGGCAATGTCTACTGTTATCTTTAACAAAGCCAAAGATGACGTTATGTAATGGTTCAAATATCTGAGGTATTAGTGAACGCGCGAAGCTGTTGAATAATGACGTTTGTCTTGTTCCTACATTCGCTGTTTACGAGAAGAAAAATATCAGTTAACGCAGCTTTCAAGTAAATACGTGACTTTTTCTTGAGCAGATGATAAATGTTATATGCAAATATCCGCGTCCACCATTTTGCCTGGCATGGCAAATAAGTAATAACGTCTGTGTCTGTGTAATTGTTAAGGTTTCTTCAAGATGTTTCGATTGTATTTTTGAATACTTTGGCTCTGATCTGTACAATGCTTTTGCATGGAAAATAAAGGGCTTCATATGTATTATTATTTAGAAGAGATACATAAGTAGACAATTAATTAAGTTTCAATTGTGGTCTTGGTTAGACAAGAGAAGAAATTTGCTTGATGAGATCCCCAGAGAACTTAATAATAATAATAATAATAATAATAATAAACAAAAGGATTAACGTAATTCTTCCAATATTTTTCAACAGTTTAGAGAAGAGCGCAATTTAAGAAAAGAAAAAACACAGTGTTTGACGATGTTCAACAATATTTCGACAGTATGTTTTCTTCTTCAAGTTATATTTAAAAAAAAATTCAAGTATAAAAATCTACAAAAATTGTAAGTTTTTGAACAAATGTTGTTTGTCTAGTAATTTTTTGGGGAGTTATATATTTTTTTACTTGAAAAATTGTTTAAATAAAACTTGAAGAAGACAGACGTACTGACGAAATATTGTTTAATATTGTCAAAAACTGTGTTTTTTCCTTTATCTTTTCGCGCTCTTCTCCTAACTCCTGTAATATTAAAAATAATAATGATAATAATAACAATGAGGAGGTGGAAGAGAAGAAAATTTTTTTACAATAGTCAGTTATGTGCCATGGGTGATACACGCTGAGGCAATCATGCATCTTCTGATACATGACTGACGAGGCAGATTTCTTTCCTGCAGTAGGTTGCCATTTCTTTCTGTGGTAGACCAGTTGCCATCCAAGGCTATAGAACCCGGTGTGTGGTCAGTTATATGCCATGCGTGATACATGCATAAGCGATCATGCATCTTTCGATACATGACTGACGAGGCAGATTTTTTTCCTGCAGTAGGTTGCTATTTCTTGCTGCGGTAGACAAGTTGCCATCCAAGGCTATAGAACCCGGTCTGTCCTGGGAGGAGAAGAAAAGGATTCATGCCTTTCCCAAGGGTCAGTCAGTTATGTGCCATGCGTGATGCACGCTTAGGCGATCATGCATCTTTTGATAGCTGATTGACGAGGCAGATTTTTCCCGCATTATATTGTCACTTCTATCCGCGGTAGACCAGTTGCTATCCAAGGTTACAGAACCTGGTCTGTCCTGTTATTTACCCATAGCTGGGGGAGGGAGGAAGAAGAAGAGGAGGATTCATACCTTTCCCAAGGGTATTATTACGTAAGTGAATGTAATGGCTTCGAATGGAATTCGAACTCGGCTCTCCGATTCCGGAATCCGAGCCACTATCCATTACTCCATCTTGTAATAGGTTTCGTAACAAATACATTGAAACTTTTGAACACCTTTTTATTTATCATTTCACCACAGGTAAAGGCATATAGCCAACATGGTGCAAGGGGGTGGGTCTGAGTGTGAAAGAATATGAGAAAAAGAAAATAAAAACATTATTAAGGGTTGAGAACAATAAAAAGAACAGAAATTAAGAAAACAGAAGATAACGATTGATATTGCATTTAAATTTTCAAAAATCATATCTGACTGAAAAACAAACAGCCGTAAGAGAGTTCCACAAGCGAGAAGTGCGATAGAAGCAACTGTTTGTAAAGAACTTACAGTTACATCTAACAATTTCAACTGTAAAATGGTGAAACATTGCTGCCAATCTAATCAGTCAGTTATGTGTCATGGTTGATACACGCTTAGGCGATCATATATCTTTCGATACATGACTAACGAGGCAGATTTTTTCCTGCAATAGGTTACCATTTCGTTCTGCAGTAGACCAGTTGCCATCCAAGGCTATGGAACCCAGTCTGTCCTACTATTTACCCATAGCTGGAGAGAGAATAGGTAGATTCATACCTTTCCTAAGTGTATTAGCACGTAAGTGAATGTAATGGATTCGACTGGAATTCGAACTCGACTCTCCGATTCCTCAATCCGAGCCGCTATCCATTACTCCACCATATCAAAGAGCAGAGCTCATCAGAACAATAATTATGAAAATATTTATGGTACAGAGAAGCTATGTTACGGCGGCGGGAAAGTGACTGAAACCGAGATGCTAGGTCATGATCAATAACATTGCAG